TCCCGGCGCCTCTTCCCCGCAGGACCCCGCTGTCCCCGAGTGCTTGAGCGGAGAGGAGGGAGCGGGCAAGAGGAAGGGCTGCTGCTGCGCCCGGGAGCTTGAGACGTCGTTTACCTACGTGGATGAAAATGTGAACCTGGAGCACGCAAGGAGTCCCCCCTCTCCTCCAGACAGCGGCTGCCAGGGTGCCCCCGCGCAGCAGGACCCTCGCGGGACGCTCCCGCCGGCCTGGGGTCACCATTCCCCGTCCCTCGTCTCCGAGGAAGATGATGCCGCCTCCGAAGCGACTTCGGGGAAATCCGTAGACTATGGGTTCATCAGTGCCATTTTGTTCCTGGTCAGCGGCATTTTGCTGGTGATTATTTCCTACGTGGTGCCCAGGGATGTGACTGTAGATCCCAACACAGTGGCCGCCAGGGAGATGGAGAGACTGGAGAACGAGAGCGCCAGGATTGGCGCTCACTTGGATCGATGCGTTATCGCCGGCTTGTGTCTCTTGACCCTGGGGGGAGTGGTGCTCTCCAGCCTTCTCATGATGTCCATGTGGAAAGGGGAGCTGTACCGGAGGAGCAGGTTCGCCTCCTCCAAGGAGTCTGCAAAGCTGTACGGGTCCTTCAACTTCAGGATGAAGTCTGGCGCAAATGACAATATGTTAGAGCTATCGTTAGTTGAGGAAGATGTGCTTGCCATAGATAATTAGTGTGGTCATGACTTTTAAGGCAGCATTTCCACAGGAAAATATATTTAATTAAAGAAAACAGATGCAGCTTAAGATAGCTGGTGATGCAGTTAATTTGTCCAACCTGAATGATTTTTTTTCGTAAGCTCTATAACTGAATGTTTGCAGTACATGAGCACTTGTTGTAAAGGGAAAACGTGCCAGAGAAAATGCAGTCAATATAAAATGATGAAAACCACTGAATAAAAAGAGATTGGTGATAAGTAGGTTCATCAGATGCTCCTTTATCAGAATATAAAATATTCCTTCAGTCTTTTGCTTGTATAATTTTCTTATTACTCCCATATAAAACAGAAACATCTTTGCCACTTTGGAAGCTGTTAATTGCTGCAGCCTACAGAAGGTTTATTAACAGCTTGCTTGGTCTCATGTAAAGAAGGAGGACCAATAATTAAATAGCAAGACTGACATTTAATTAAGATATTTAATTAATTTAATTTATTTTTAAGCTGACCCCTTCTCCATGGTGAGTGAGAGCTAAAAAAAACAAACGAACACGACTTGGTTATCACTTAGCACAGGTCTTCTGGATTCTGAAAAGTGATACAATTAGCGATGATTATTTAAAATATAAAGTAAGGGTCAAAGGGCGGGGGACCATATGGCTTATGGTCTTGGTAGGAGACAAAAGGCTCTTTCATCGTGAGGTCAGTGGTTCCATTTCAGTGCAGATTAGCAATGACTGATAATCGTTAACTTCTGATAGCTATAGTGCCCATATAAAAGAAGTTTAGTTCCTAGTGGACGGATGTCTTGGTATAAAAACTGCCATAACTTGAATTAAGTGGTCTCCTGTCTAGACTCTCTAAAGACACAAGGACTGAAAGAGCAAGGGGCTGCAGACACTGAACCCTTCTCCTTCAGTGCAGATGCTGAAACAAATTCAAACTCAGCTGCAAGGCTTTGCTTATACCAGGGCTATTTGTATCGTACTCGTTCCTTGGAAACTTCAGTGCTGTCTCCCCAGGCTGTCAGCCTTCTCACAGCCCAAAAGGAAAGGTCAAAACAGAGTTTTAGGGTGCTTTCCTTAAAAAAAATAAAGTAAAATAAATAGTCAGGGTAACTGTCAGGCAGAGGGGCTGATGTGGGGCTCGGTACTGCATAGGCAAGGGTACGTGTTACTGTTGATCCTAGTGATGTGGCACTGGAGCCAAAAACCTCAGCTGCTGGTGGCATTTCCTTTAGTTTTGGCCAGTTTCTGTGGAATGTTAAAGCTGGGATTTTGTGGTGCTGGGTGAAACAGCAAGGATTGTTGTACACAGCAATGTCATGTCTTACTGTATAGTGGTGGCTTATGCATATATATTTGTATATATATGTGTGTGTATGTCTTATCCTCTAGCAGAGCCAAATGTCAGGGAAGAGCTCTGTCCCTTGGCTTAATAGAAACACGCAGTTCCCTGCCACAGTTCTGTCCATCACGAGCCAGATCTGAAACATCAGTAAGAGCAAATGTTTCAAAACTGAGGCTTGTTTCCATCTACAATGCCCTGAGATACCCAAGGAGAGGACTTGGGTTAGGGCTTGGGATGCCACTGCTGATGAGACAGGAAGGGGGCTTGTGTCATGGTCTCGAGCACACTTGGCCACTGGAGCTCCCCAAGGCCAGTGTTCAACCTCACCCTTGGAGAGCCTGTGCAAGCGCACAGCAACGCAGTATTAAATTTCCAAGATGACTGTGGAAGGAGCTTCCATGGGATGAGGAGCCCTCCTCCTGCTGCCGCCAGACCCGGGCAGCTGAGTGAATGGTGCAGAGGGAGGACTCTGTCGGTGACGAGAGCACTTCCAGGCTGGGCCCCAATGGGGACCACCGTGCACCGTCTCTTTCCTCCATGCAGCAGGAGTGTTGGAAAGGAGGCTGGTGATTCAGAACTGTTATTTTTGTTTTTTAATGATACATATGCAGAAAATTGGAGTACATTCCATAATTGCGGCAGAATGACAGCTAAAGCTGTAAAGATCACAGATTTCTTGTAAGAGCCATGGCATGCCTTAATGCTGATTATTAGCACTAGAAAAGAGACCGCTCCCCAGACTGGCAGTGTATGATTATTAAGTGAGAAGTTTTCTGATGCTCTGTAAAATGCCTGTCACCGATCATGGGCCTGAAACATTTAAACGAACCCTCAAATGTTCCCTGAACATTTCAAGGAAACCTAAGTCAACACATTAGTCTAAGTATGCAGTGCAAAAGTGTGAGGAATACAAATTTTGAAGTGAGAGCACTAACAGAGTTTCTTTATTTTGGCGCTAACGCATGCTACCGAAGAGGTGAAGGAAGGCTTTCAGAGGAAAGAAGGCAGAGGCTGAGCAAATAAAATCTCTCAGGATATGTCTCTGATCACCAAACAAAGTACATTGCAAGTTATAAGACTGTCTGGGTTGGTGATGTGATATAAAACCACTGAACTCTCAGGTTTTAATGATGCATGTGATAGAAACCAAAACAGTTGTCTAATGGTTGATTGTGGAAAACGAATGTATTAGTCCACTGCCTGAGGGACGGTGATTCCATTGCTGTAGTCACTGAAGGCAGTACCAAGGGCCGAGGCCAAGGGAGATTGATTGCCCTCTCATACACCTGAGCGATCTGATTTCCTCTGTTCAACATTTAATTGCTTTAAGGGTGCAAGTGTGAGGAGAACTGTTTTCTCATGGCCTGTGCTAACCTTGCCACATGGGTCAAGGGAGAGCTCTGCTCTGGGGCGAGGCAGTGGGTGGGTGACCCTGCGTTTGCAGGGGGGTTGGACTAGATGACCTCTAGGGGTCCCTTCCAACCTTAAGAATTCTATGATTCTATGATTTGGGTGCCTCCTGCACTAACCAGGAGCCATGTGGAGAGGAGGAACCACTTCTTACTGATTGTCCTGAGTACCAAAACGTGACACTTTCCCCTTTTCTACCTCATGACGTGTCCCCTGGGTGCCTAGCCGTGGACCCCAGGGTCTCCCTTTCTATCCTGTCCTTCCCTCAACTTGACCAGCCTCATGGCATGGATGCCTGGCCTGGCCTGCGGTAAGCGGCCATCCCCATGAGCAGGAATTAGGGCTGACGCTTAGCCCCGGCTGTTACGGTGGCTCCCGCTGACTGTGGTGTCTGCCGTGTATTTTCCTTGTCGGGAAATTTGTGACCAAGGCTGCCCGTTTGGAAGCTGCCTGCGGCCCAGTGTGGAGTGTCACCCCAACCCACTGCAGTGCACGTCATGGCGGCGCTGGTGTCCGGCCTGCGTCCCCACACAGCCAGCCTGGCCTCCTCGCTGCTGTCCTCCCAAGCCAAACCTGCAGCAGAAGCATTTAAACCCCCCTCCTAGGAAGCTAAGCTGGGCTGTTGCTGTTTTTAATATGTTTACAGTTTTCTAATCTTTGTAATTCTTTTAAAAATCTGTCCGTAATGAACATAACGTTTACCAGCTGGGAGAGTTAAACTGATTTAATCATGTAAATCTCCTTTTTGGACCTATTAAAAAGCAAAATGTAACGGTTTATCGTGAGCTTTTCACTAGTGCATTTGATGCCTTATTACAATAGTAACAGCGTTCTGTACAGGTGAAAAATAAAAAATCTATAAAGCTGAGCTCTTAGCATCATGGCTGTCTTTGCTGAGTTGCTTATTGCAGGGGTTTTCTCTTCCCTTCACATATGCCTGTCTGGTTCAGGTATCGATACCAGTCTGGTTACATATCAGCTTCTCCTCTTCACAGAGGACATAGTGTCTGGTTGCTGAAGGGAGTTGTGTCCTCGTCTTCACCAAACAGGGCTGATGTCAGAGCTGAGACTGTGGCTGCAGCTGGACGTGGACTTGGAAGTTGCCCCTTATCTCACCCAGTTATTTCCCCCCACATCCCCATTGATTGTTACTGCCCCATATTTGTGGCTCCTTCTCAATCAAATGGTGAGGAATAACTCCACCTAATCCAGGATATTACCAAAAGAAAACAAAAAAAAAAGGGAGTGAGGGGATGGACAGACCAGTGGGCAGGCATGAGGGAAGGTCCTGTGGTGGAGAGGTGGCAGTGGGCATCATGATGGCCGTCAGCACTGCGGCTACCTTGTCCTTACTACTCGCCTGGTTTGTCCACGGAGGGGCCACAGGAGAGAGGCAGCCAGGAATGGTATTTGCTTCACAGAGCCTTCTCAGCTGGCCAGAAATGTCTGGAAAAGCCCTGGAAGGAGAATCCTACTTTTCCAACATTGTGTTGGGTGCTGCCACTCCCTAGCTCGGCAAGTGAGTGCAATGCCGGCCCCAGGGCAGCCAAGGAGAGCTCCTAGTGTGTGTACCTGCCATTGGGTACATGTTGCTGAACTGGACCCTGGGGGTGTCAAGAGAGGATCACCAAGGCTGAAACCTCCTTAAACTTATGTCCAAAAGCCATGTCACCATGCCCGGCCTTGTGTGCTTCAGGCAGCAGCAGTCTGGAGGTTTCCAGCTGAGCAGGAGTTCTGAGGATCTGCAGGTTCCTTCTTTTTTTGTTTTGTTTTGTTTTTTTTCTCCCCCAAATGGCCCATATGTCTCAGTAAAGCATCCTAACCACCTTTGACAACCCCCTACTCCCATGCAAATGTGATAGTAATGTATGTGATACAGATTCTGCCTTGCAATGTCAGATTTCATACTGCATATGGCTGGATAAGACCTCATCCTGCTGGCCTTGTTAATCAAATCATGTGTAGGAGTGCCAGTGATTAATTTGGATTCAGGTAGGAGTAGGGACTCTCTTCCTGTCTGATTAGTTTCTACAGTACCTGGTACAATAGGGCCCTGATTCTCAATTCATGTTTCAACTATTACTGTATAGCAATAATAAATGTGTCCCCAAGGTAACGGAATTGACTGCAGTCAAATTGCACCAATGCCAGATATAGCTATGGTATGCATCCAGTGGTTATTAAGAGGTTAAGAGAGTAGGTGTATTTATAGATATGACAATCCATCAGCTTAAAGATCCAGAAGGCTTTCTGACTAAAAGCAAACACTGAATTCATTGTTAACTGTTTTTTACAAGGTTCTTTTTGATCGTATCTTTTTACATTTTGAAGAACTCATCATCATGTATTATATTCACAGAGCCTTTTTTCACATGTGCATAAGCCCCGACAAGGTCAAGGATCCTGTAGACTGCAGGGAAGTGAGACTTCTCCAATTCTGTTATCAGTTTAAATGAAATTCTGTTGTAAATTAGCATAAAATCTGACCAGACAAGAAT